GCTACCGTTTTTGATACGGAAGGCATTTGTTTTTTGATCGTCTATAATTTTAAGTGAAGTAAAATATTATAAGCAACAATAATTCAAATATAGAGATTACAATTACTGAAATTTTGTTCTCACCTCAATTCTACCAGAAACAAGCATAAAAGCTTCAAAGATATGTTTAACCAATAAAATTTCCGGAAAACAATTGTCAACCACGTCTTCACTTATCCAAGAGGCCCACAAATTCAAGGTTGGATCTCCAAAATATAATGATAATGGTTCATTTTCTTTATTCGAATCCACTGATAAAAATCTTAACATAAATCTTTTTAATGCAGACACAAAATCTTCAGCAGGAATTTTTGTCAGTGGATTCGAATAAAGAAAATGAACCATTATCATTATATTTTGGAGATCCAACCTTGAATTTGTGGGCCTCTTGGATAAGTGAAGACGTGGTTGACAATTGTTTTCCGGAAATTTTATTGGTTAAACATATCTTTGAAGCTTTTATGCTTGTTTCTGGTAGAATTGAGGTGAGAACAAAATTTCAGTAATTGTAATCTCTATATTTGAATTATTGTTGCTTATAATATTTTACTTCACTTAAAATTATAGACGATCAAAAAACAAATGCCTTCCGTATCAAAAACGGTAGCAACTAATAACCCGCCAATAACAAAGGTTGTAACTAGTAAGAAGACGCCTAAAACAAACTCAAAATCCCCTAGTACTTTATTTGCAACTAGAAAATCAAAATCTAAAACTTCAAGCTCTAATGAAGCAACAACTTCAAAATCTAAAACTTCAAGCTCTAATGAAGCAACAACTTCAAAAACGCAATCAACAAAAACCCTCACTTCTCAAGTACAAAAGAAAAACATCGTAAAAAAGAATAATATATTTTAATTGTAGATTAGTAGTATTTAGAATAACCTAGTATAATCGGGCTTAAGTACTTTTTGTAAAAAAAAAAAAAAGCATTCTTTCATCTATTTGTTTATTATTTATCTGCTTATATTATAAAAAGTAAGTTATTGTAAAGAATCTAAAACAAATTGATTTAAAAAAAATTTGAATTTTTAATTAAGAATAAAATATATTAAATTGTAATAAAAAATGTTAACTTGTGTATAAAGAAATTTTATAAATCTTAAAATGCATAATATTTTATAAAAAAACTATATAGTTTCAAAATCGTTTTTATATTAGAAACGATTTTGACAATATCAATTCATAGTATATATGATACGTATTATAATTTTTGGCTTTTAAAGCTAATCATCAGGTGAGCAAGATGATTATAAAATTAATCGTTTCACAGAATGTTAAAAGGTATTGGTGTATCATCTAACTTGTGTTCAAATAAATGAAAAACATCCACAATAACATTGTAATTTAATCGAATTTAATCTGGAGTCAATTATTAGTATCTTGTATAATCGGTTTTTTCTATTCTTTTGAAAGGCGTAAGCGAGAACTAAAAATACACCTTATATTACAAGATCATTTGTATCTTCACGAACTAAATCAATATTGCATGTGCAATTAGGCATAGACTGAATTTGGTACACGTGATAAGAAATAATTTTTCCTTGCAGTTGTGGGGGAATGAATAAATAATCAAAATTCTGATCGTGATAGATCATATTTTTACGTAAAATATCTCGCACATAATTTATTACATGCGGACCCGCAGGAAGAAAGTGAAAAGGTTTTATATCGTTGCTCTTTGCGCAAGGGTTGTCGGTTTTAATTGCTGTTCTTAGTTATTTAAATACGTAAAACGGGAATCTGCAAGTTACTAGACCACAGAACTTAACTTTCTTATTATTATATTAATTTCTATTTGTCTTCTATATTATGAGTTATTCTTGATTCTATTAGTTGTTGGTCATATTTGTTAAAGTTAATAAGAAACCGTTGAAATATCAAAGATAACTCGTTTAGCAATTATAGCTTGTGCAACCGATGGCATGAAAAAGGGCATGGGCTCTTCCATATTGGCAGATAATCCACTCTGCAACCTTGTTATATTAATTTCTATTTGTCTTCTATATTATGAGTTATTCTTGATTCTATTAGTTGTTGGTCATATTTGTTAAAGT